TGAGGCTCGTGTCTAATTTACTAGAAGCACATTGCAGGAATCAGATGTCCTGAAGCTACGAATGTTTCCTCATACAGGTTCTTGCCAAATCCAAGAATCAGTGTGTTGTATGTGAACCAAAAGCTAGGCAAGGAAGGCAAATTCAAAGTTTCCAAAGCTTCAACTTCTAGTTTGAAACCCTAAAGTCATATCACTGCTTCCTTCTCAGCAGCTCATTAAAATAGAGGCCCCTCTGAAAATTAAACAGTAAGGCCCAGGATTCCAGTCAACACTGCGGAATCACCCACACTGTGAAAGCAGATTAAAGAGTAACAAGTTAGACACAGAATAACTACTGATTAACACAGTCTTACACCCGAGTGGAAGTCAAAGACAAATGGCTATCTATTTTTACGGTTTTGTTTTAAAAAAATATCAAATACAAGGGCACAGATCCCTAACATCACATAAATTCACTTTCTAACCATTATAGATCTTGAGAAGTTAACTGAAGAAATAAAGACAAATTACTCACAAAGCAAGGTGCTACATACTGGAGTAGCGCTGACTTGACAAACACAACCTGATTTTTCTAACAAAAAAAAATTTTGTAAATTATATGAACTCTATGCAGAAAATACAAACATCTGTTTGAACTGCTGCACAAAGCCTTGAAGCCCTGAGCACTCCTGCAGTTAACAAATTTAAGGTACAACAATGGCTCTCAAAGCACTCACTCCTGAAGCTCTGTTGGGGTCTGTGCAGTGGATGTGGGGGACACGAAGGTGTGAAGAGTATTGTTCCACTGCAGGCAGGGCCACAAGGAACTTCCCGCTGTACGGCAGGGCCCGGTGGATGTCCACAACCACCTGAATGCAGCTCCACCTTCCTTTGCCTGGACACCAGACCACCCTGCAGACCACCCTGCGGAAGAACTCTAATCCATTCAAGCATTGTTTGCTACTGTGGAGTTGGCTTTTTTACCCAAGGTGAGCTTGGAGGTTAATGTTAATAATAACGTCTTGCAAAAGGGCCTTCTATTATTCCTACTGTCTTGGCTGTCCCCATTGATCTTATGCTAATCAAGGGACCTGCATTTAGGCTTTCATTCTTTCCTTGATCTTTAGGTTCTCATTTTCTTTGTGATACAAGATTGAGTTGTAGAATAAGAATTGTAGTAGGAACTTCTATTGTTTTTAGGTGAAACAAATGGCAGAATTATCCTTAGAAACACTCACTTGACGGTGATGTAAAAAGTCTGAGCCAGAGTTTGACTGTGTATAAATAAAGCGGACAGCTTTCCTGCATTGTCCATCATGATCATGAAATCCTAGTGGTCCGTCTTTCTTTCCTCTTTGCGCCTCATCCATGCACCCTTCGCGAGTTCGGAACTCAGCTGGAGCTGGGAAGCTCTTCAACGGGATCCTGACATTTTGAATGCCAGCACAACAGGCAGTTACGGATATTTAAAGTGATATATCCTGTGGTTCTCTAAGTTCCCGAATCTTAACTTCAGTAACAAACAGGGTGTATCCAAGTCACCATTATTAAGTGACCCACTTCGCTGATCTGACTTCAACTTTTCTGCACAAGGCTTCTTCTTGAACAGGTCAGACCTGTTCAACCTCTTTCGACCCCCTGAAAACACACTCAAGCCTTCCCCAGCCCCCACCTCTTTTGTATGTAAACACACTTCTCTTGTCACACACTCCATCAGCTGTTCAGTAAGCTCCACCCCTCCTCCCTTTCCGGGTAGTAACAGAGCGGCCAATGAGCAGAGACTAGCTGTGCCTGCAGCCTTTCGCCTGCTTACGCTTTTCCAAAACAAGCAGCTGTAGCCTTCAGCAGGGGCCACTGGTTCACAGGGAAGGCTCACCAGGGCTGTGCAACCAGCTGAGACGAGGAACCCCCACCAATAAGGAAACCCGTGTAATCTGAGCTGTTTGTTCCTCCACTGGGGAGAACTTAAACTGATATTCCTCTAGGGCAAATCACGCTTTAAGGTCACTTAGAGCCCCAGTTCTCAGACCATCTAAACAACCAGCTGCTTGGAGATGGAAGCCTTTGGAGGCTGCCAGGCTGTAAGCAGCACAGGATTACCCAGCTACCTGCCTCTCTGCAAACAGTGGCACAATTCCAGACCATTCCACAGCACTCAGGCTAACTCCAAGTTTTGGGTTTGTGTTGGGGGTGGGGGCATGGTGAGCATTCCTACAGGGCCCAAAAGTCCTGTAAATCAGTTTCTAAGCTCCCGGGGAGGTTTGCACAACAACCCTTAGCAGAGGATCAGAAGAGAAACAATGAATGAGTCAGAGTTTCAGAACACGGCTGCCCAGCAGATTAAATGCACTGGTGCACACGCTCGCTCCCTGCCTAACTCGGCTCTCCTCCCCTCCGGCCCAGCACAACAAAAGAGCTAGCCCTGACTTCCCGCGGCCAGCCTGTCTCCAATGAACCTGGCAAGGTGACTGGAGGGAGCGCCAATCAGCTCCACAAGCTCCTGCTCCCACCCTCCACCGCTACCTGCCAGGCTGTAAAGCCTGCTGGTATAATTACGCTCAGGAGACATCCAAAAATGGGCTGAAAGGGGAGACTGCCATGACAGCAGTTACCAGCTTCCACCCCAAGGAAATCAACCAGGAGCATGGAGAAGCAGTACCCGCTCTCCAGGCCCTTCCTCCCCACTCCCTCTCAAGCCCTGCCCTTCACACACACTCATTTTAGGTCTGGGCTGGGGGAATTTTCCTTTAGTTTTTTGCTAAATATGCTTTACTCCAAAAATCGTTGGCTTCCTTGGGCCTGCTGGTGTAAATTCAACAGAGAAAGGAGGCCACAAAAATCCCTTACCCAACAACTACACAAAGGAAATCCAAGAATTTCACCTTCTTACATGCATTAGATCAGAAGGTAGCACAGGATACAAAGACAACCTGTGGCCTTCCACACTGCCATCCTGCCAGCTCAGATCCTCGGCTGCAGAGCCCCTCTGCCTTCTTTTGTCAGCAAGCAGGAAAGTGGGAAAGCAGCGAAGGCCAGTGCGTCTTGGCCTGCCTTCATCTTGTACTAAAAATAAACTGTGCAATAAGCCACTTAGGGAGTAAAAAAAAAAAAACCACCCTCTGGTCTTTGTCTGTGTCCCCTTCCCGCCCCACTCCTAGATACAGCGATCATCCCGGACGCCACGACAAGGACAGGAACAAAAGGCACCGAACAGAAAAGACAGCAGGTCAACCGGGGCCTCACCCTTTCTCCTCCAGCTCCAGCTCGGCCCGGGCCGCATCTGAGATGCTGACACCCACTGACAGCTGGGGCCCGGGCCGCATCTGAGGTGCTGACACCCACCCACAGCTGGGGCTCGCCCTCCCCCACCCAATTATACAGCAGGTAGAAATTTGCATTAGCTGTGACAGTAACTCTAAATTCAAGATAAAAATAACTCCTGTCTACCACCATGTCATTTCCTAGCTCCTAAACAAAACAAGAGCTCAGGCTGCCTTATGTAAAACGTACACTCGGTCAGACGTGCCAGGCTTCTTGCCCCTTTTGAAAAGCCGAGCCACGAATTCCCAGAGCCATCGCAGCCCCACAGCTCCTAGTATTATGTTCCCACTGTACTCACCACTTGTCCCGGTCCCTACCCCCACTCCCAAATCCTAAACTGTTTCCAATTCTTACCCAAGTCTTCCCAGAGTGAGGAGAAAAAAACACCTCACTTCTGAAAAGATTATGAAAAAGTCGTAACAATAATTACAGCCTCTTGCCCAGGCAACTTCCTTCCCATCCCCCACTTTCAAGCCATATGCAAAAAACTACTTTAAAACTTCGGCAAATTCTGTAACTGAGTACTAGTCACCCATCCGCCCTGCCAAGAAGTGGGACAGGGATCAGAAAAGGCAACAAACAGCAAGCAGGAACTCACCTGAAGAAGCCAGCCCCGAGTTACAGCAACAAAACCCTCCCAACCCGGGGAAATGGAGGGGGATGGGCCAAGCAAAAAGAAAAACACTTTTTTGAAAACTGCCTTTCACACCCTACCACTCACTCCCGACGCCCAAACCTCCCTCTCCAAAGCAGCTGTTCCCAACAGCGGGCTTCCCTTAAACCTCTAAACGACCCTCCTCAAAAAGAGCGCTTGATTTGTCACTGGAACTTTCGCGAAGGTCTGGAGCTGGTCATGAAATAATCAGTGTGGACTCCAACCCAAACCCTTGCCTGAAGGACTGTCACCTGTGAGAGCTTTCCCAGCCGGGGTGGATGAAGTCGGGGAGGGGAGGGGGCGGCAAACGAGGGCCACACGGGGCCAGCTCTCCCACGGGGTCCGCCTGGGTGCGCGGTGCAGGGGCTCTGTCCCCCAGCTGTCACACGCTATGGAGGGTGGCCGGCCAGGGAGGGCCTGGGGTCCTTGGCCAAGCACGAGGGTCCCCGCTAGGCCGGGACTTGAGAAACCCCACACTGAGCTCTTTATGCACACAGGGGGCCCTGCACCGACTCCTCTCTTCCTAATATAGAAAGGAATTAGGGATAAAGAAGGGCGCTCGAGTCACCCCAGTTCATAGGCACTGTGCGTGGAGAGGGGCTCTCTCCAGGAGCAGAGAAAGGCTGACTCTGGGGAATTTCGGCCAGGAGTCCCCAAAACACAGCGCGAACAAACATGGGAGAAAAAAGAAAAAAAAAAATAAATAAAAAGATCCGATCCTGGGCCCAGTGGCCGAGAGAGTAAGGGGGCCGGCCGGGAGGAAAAAAAGAGAAGCCGCCGGGAGCCCAGACAGCGAAGCCACGGGCACGAGAGGGGGTGCACGAAGGGCAGGAGCTCCGCGTCTTTCAGGGTGCTGCAGATAAACGGGGAGCGGAGAAGGCCCTCGCTTCCTGGGAGGTGCCGAGGAGCCGCCGCGGCCGCCGCGGGAGGAGGGGATCGTGCCCGGGGCGCCCCAAGGGCCCCCGCCCGGGCTCCACAGGGCTGTCCCCGGCATGCCCACGCCGCCCACCCCCCAAAAAACACAACTCCCCGCCTCCAAGGATACAGCTTGACCACGTCCGTGTCCATCCGCCTCTTGCCCGGACTGGGGGATGACATGGTGTCGCCGCCGCCGCCTCCCCGTCGCCTCCCTCCGGTCCTCGGCCCGTCTCTGAGGAGCCCGCGGCCGCGCCGGTTCCTCGGCGGAGGTGCCAACACCCCCCGGCGCCGTCGGGGCCCGTCGGTCCCGTCAGCCGCCGCCGCCCCCCGCACGGGGGAACACCGGCCCGGTCCGGCCGAGTGGGGGTGGGGCCCGGCCCGGCTCCGCTGCCCGCTCCGGCGCGCGGCCTCCCCGGCGCCCGCCGCGCCCCGCTCCTGCGGCCCACTCGAGCTCGCCCGCCGGATCGCCGCTCGCCCGCGAACCCCTCGCCGACTCCTGGCAGCCTCCACCACGAGCGGACGACTCCTGCTCCGCGGCCTCTCTACCCCAGCCTCGCTCTGGGCGCCGTGACGTCACCTCTGTGACGTCATCCGAGAGGCGGGCCTGGCGGCGAGAGGGGTGGGGCGCCGCCGCTCCGTGCGCTTTCCCGGGGACTTCTGGGAGTTGTGGTTCCTCTTTCTCCTGCCCTCCCAGCCTTCTGGCCCCCTCCCCCAACTTCCCCACACACTTCATCGCTCAACTGCCAATGTGTTAGCACCATCACAAACGCTAATAGTAAATTACAGCCAATGTTATTACATCCGAGTGTTTTTTGGGGCGTGAGGGGAAAGAACCTGTGTCTCACAAGTCAGCTTTAAAGGCTGTTTATCTGATTTGGGGAAGACCAAGGTGGCAATTACTCAGGCAGACACCCAAATCTGGAACTCCCCCCCTCCCTGCTCCCTGCGCAGGTGAAGGGAGTGCGCTTGCAGAGCTGAGAGGCCAGGCTTCCCGCAGCTTGCAAATCACGGCTCATCCTGTTCGCTGTCTTGCAGGTGTGCTGGGCCACCATGTCAAGGATCTGCGTGAAGGCTCAAGGCAGGAAGGCCAGAAACCGCTCAGTGCCAACGCCCTGGTCCTACAGAAGGAAACCACGTCACACGGTGAGGAACGGCTCCAATATACTCTTACTCAGGACAAAAACCGCAGTGCCACCCAGACCACCACCAGGCCTTAGATGTAGCTGGATGCTAAGCACCTGCTGGAGACCAGGCTATGGCAGGGAACCCAAAGACGCTGCGTGTGCACAGCCCTCCCAGTGTGGTCCGTCGTCCACAGCCGCCGCCTCACCTGGGAGTTTGTTAGCACTGCAACCAGAGCTTCCCTGCAGACTTCCCAAATGGGGCTCCAGGAAAAAGTCAGAATAATACCAACAAGGTCTCCTGGGGTTTCCTGTGCAGTTGAGGTGGAGAGGCAGTGGGGCGCAGGGCAGAATGTCCCAGGCATCTCTCCTGTTTACATCAGATGTTCACCCCCACTGATTCTCAAAGTTTCCTGGATCCCATGAATCCGTGCGCACTTTGTGAAGCCACGCGCTGCAAGCTGTGTCCTCTTCCATGGCACACACACCGGGCCAGCAGGTGTTCATGAAGGTTGCGTGTAGTTTGCTTTGCTAGTTCTACCCCTCAAAAGGACTGGCTGTTGCTTTCAGGACAAGCTAAACGTAACACAGAATTTAGCCTTGAAGGGTGTGAGTTGGAAGCCTGCAGTGGACTGGCCAGGTCTGCAGCCATACTGGCCGTCCCTGTCCGGGACTCTTAAACCACGCCCAAGAGCGTGTACCCGTTACACAGCAACTCCTCACCCCCTCCTGCTCGGCCGTGATGGGCTACCTCCCTTCTGCATGCTGAAAAAGAGGAGCCCCGTGCACTGCTCCCCACTGGAGTTCATTGTTCTCTCTTATTACACACAGCACATGGATCGGAGGAGGACAGGGCCACCCCCAACCCCCTCTCTGACCCCTCTGTTAACGGGAGACAAGCCAGAGCAGTCTGGCCTCCACTTGGCCTTCTGGCTTCTGCTTGCTGCGCCTGTCTGTCGGAACACCCTGCTCTGCAGCCGTCACCTCATTAAGCCCCCTGCTGCCCCTGGGGACTGAAGCCTGCTATGTTTCAAAGTCACCTACACAGCTGGTGAAGCTCAGCAGCATGCCAGGCGCCATCCCAGTGGATGATTCCGATTCAGAAAGACTGCCTGGGAGCGGGGCATCATGCGTGCAGTCCAGGTACACGGCAAAATGTGAGCAGCGGTCGGCAGCATCGCCTTGGAAACACCTGTCTGACCTTTTTCCGGGAGGGCCTTCAAATAAGGGAGGGTCAGAGTGTCGTCCAGTGTTCCCCAGCCTGTGAGAGACAGGGCCAGCCGCAGAAGGGACAAAGGTGTGGTCTTCAGAGGTGAGAGCAGCGGGCGTCTAGCCCAGCCCTGGAGGATCAGGTCAGGCAAGGGTGAGAAAGGGAGGCAGGAGTTCAAGGCTGGGAGTGATCCCGTGCTGCTCTTTCTGCCCTGGTATTCTGACTGCTGTGACCCACATTCTGGATCAGGCATACGAGGCTATTTAGTCAGAGAAACTTGCTGGGGACCGAGGAGGGAGGGCGGCTAGCGAGACAGCTCTCCGGACTGCACTGACCAGCAGCCGAGAGAAGTCGAAAGAAAGCCAACAACATCCCTTGCTAGGCCAGCATCCCATCTGGGCACCAGTTTGACTCCTGGCTCCTCCACCTCCTCTCCATCTCCTTGCTAATGGCTTGGAAAAGCAGTGGAAGACGGCCCAAGTGCTTGGGCCCTGCACCCCTGAGGGACACCCAGAAGAAGCTCCTGGCTTGCAGCTTCAGGAGGCTCAGCTCTGGGCGTTGCGGTCGTCTGAGGAGTGGAGCAGTAGATGGAAGACCTCTCATCCGTCCTCTCTCTTTACATCAGCCTCTCTTCTACAAGAAGAGCTTCTGTGTCTTTGCCAGGTGTCTAAGCTCTGGGTGGCTGATGGCCTAGCCCTGCTCATAATTACGCCTGACTTAGCTGGATGTGTCCTGCCTGTGTCCCACTCTTCTCAGCTGCACAGCGTGGCTTCAGGTGGGTTGCTACAGGAAGTGGGAGGATGAGCCCTGAAGTGTTGCATGCAAGGTGTGATGGGCGGCGGTCCCATACGGCTGTTAGTATCAGCCTTCTGTTTGCCTCGCTCCGTAGACGCAGAGTGTCAGCGCAGGGACTGGCTTCCTGTCTTCTGAAGATGTCCTGCCATCGGTGCTTTAGGAGGTGGAGACACACGGAAGGGAAGGGAGGGAGGTCATCAGGCCGAGCAGAAGGGAACCAGGAGCTGAAGAGGACACAGCTCCCGCTCGTCACAGCTGCACCGGACCAGGAAAGTCCAGGGGGTGGCCCCAAAGCAGCACTGACTGGGGTTGGCATCCTGGCACAGCGGAAGAAGCTGTCACCGGATGCCAGCCTCCTGTATTGGAGCTCAGTTGAAGTCCTGACCGCTCTGCTTTCCTCTTAACCAGCCCCCTGCTAAGGTTTCTGGGACAGCAGCGGAAGATGGCCCAAGCTTGTCCTGACTCCAACCTGGCTGTTGCAGCCACTTGGAGGGATGAGCCATCTTTCTCTTCTTCCCTCCCTTCCTCTCTCTCATTCTCTCTTTTTCTTTCCCTCTCCCTCTCCATCACTGTCTTTTAAATGAAAAAACAGAACTTTAAAACAAAATAAAAATAGCAGCCAGCTGACAGCCTTGGTTCTCCTTTGCTGGGCCCCACCTTAGTGGCAGCTCATGCTCTGCTCTCTTCCCCCAACGCTTTAGCCATTCAGAACGTCAGTAACGGACCCCCAGACACCGCAGGCTAGGGAGTGTGTGTGTGTGCACGCTCGTGCACTCACTGTGCTGGCATGAGCTGTGTCCTGCCTTATCAGCTACAACCCAGGGCTGCTTGTCCCGAGCAGCTGGCCGACCCAGCCTGACTCACCCAGTGTTGCAATCTGGGAAATGTGCGTGGGGCCTGTTTATCTCTGCCCAGCGCAGGGCCAGGCTTGACCCTCGGGGCCTCTGAGCTCAGGAGCAACTAGTCCAAGGCAAGAAAACAGGCTTGGAGGGAATGAAGTGCTTTGAACAAGACGCTGAGAGGGAGTCAGAGGAGCCAGTCGTGTGCTGGAGTGGCAGAGCCAGCCCGGAAGCTGAGGTGCCCCTGCAGTTGCCTGCTAAGCCCACAGCTCTCGACTGTCCAGGATTTTGTCTGAAAGGCAGAGTTAGAGGGAGAAGGGGCGACGGAGAGGGTGCACCTCATCCACTTAGTTACTCACCACATGACCTCAACAGTCACGGTTAGGCCAATGCCAGAAGCGTCTTCCAAGTCTCCCACTTAAGCCATCCTCTGCAGCTTTCTCGGGTACATGAGCAGAAAGCAGGATCAGAAGTGGAGCAGCCAGGGCTTGAACCAGTGCCCACATGAAGTGCCAGCATCGCATGCGGTAGCTCAACCTGCTTTGCCATGGAGCTGGCCCATGATTCTCAGAATCTGTCTGTACAACAGGCAGGGTAACTCCAAGCTAGCCAGGTCGGTAGGTTTAGGCAGCAGGCCTTGGCACAGCGCCTGGAACAGAACAGGCTCTCAGTAGAGAAGGCTTCCTGCTGTTCTTACAGGCCCTAAGTGACTGCTCTTAATCTTTTGTTGCCTCTGCAGCCAGAGTCTTCCTCCATCCATTCAGTCTTTGAACACTTAGTGGATTACATGCCGATCAATCAAGGCCTTGGTTGTGTGGCTCCACGGGAACAGACAAAAATTGGTCTTCATAGAAGACAGACGTGCAAGTGCAATGCAGCATATGAGCCCGAGTGAGTCCTGGAGAGTAAAACTACCCAGAAACGGGGAGGGGAGGAGTGGGGTAAGTGTGGGGATTGGAATTTTAAATAAGGTGCTTGAGGAAGGCTCAACTCAGAAAGTGATATTTCAGTGAAAGCCTTTAGGGAGCAGCTCAAGTGCTTATCATCTAAGGCTTGAGTGGCTAGAGCACAGGCAGGACTGGGCTGTATAGTGAGGAGTAACTAGCAGGCTGTCACAGCGGAAGGCTGTGGCTAGTTTGGAAGCCTGCATGGCCTTGGTCTTCACAGAGCCCAAAGCACTGGGGCCACCCTGCACTGCTCTCTCAGGCACATGAGAGCTGGATTAGAAGTGCAATGCCAGGACTGGAATTGACAGCCATGTAGGAAACCAGTGTCACAGGCAGCAGGTTAACTTGCTATGCTACAACGCCAACCTCGCTATGAATTTTCTGTAAAAC